AAAACAATGAGAATGTAATAGAATTTATTCAGGTCTCTTCTTTACTTACTAGAAAATTGTAGCATGTTTGACAAGTAGACAGACAGCATCCTCTGAAACTTAACTGATTGGAAAAGAAAGTCAGGTGGGAAGAAAAAAAGCAGTCATGGTCTAAAATTCAGTTGGCAAAATATCTTAGAAAGCACAATTTTATCTTCCAGAGTGGTGAGACTAGTGTAATTGAATAAGCACATGCCAAACTATTACTGAGCTGCACAACTCTTATTGATAGGGGGAGAATTCTAACAAGGAGAATGATAAGGGTACCTTGCTTGCCTTGGGTTCAAATCAGCTGAACTACATGGCTTCTGAAAGGACTGGCAGGTGTGATTGCCCACCACTGTCAGAAATCTTTGAAAGATTGTGGTGGGCAGGAAAGCACTACTGGATGAGGAAATCAGAGATGTCTCAGTTAAAAAAAAAAAAGGAAAAGACTAGGACTACTAACTATAGGCCAATTAGCTTGACTTTGGTACCTGGCAAAATTCTAGAATATATCATTTAAATGGATATTTAGTTAACATTTTGAAGTGGAAATGGTGATCGTAAAGAGCCAACTTGGCTTCAAGAACAAGGCATGCTGGACTAACCTCGTTTCCCTTTATAACAGTTGACTAGACTAGCCAAGCAGGTGTGTGATTTTAGCCAAACATTTAACGAAGACTTTCATTCTACTCTTACACACAAAAAATGTTGAGATGTGAGCTAGACAATAGTGCAGTTAATGTGGATTTAAACTGGTTGAATGGCTGGACCCAAAAGTAGTTTTCAAGTTTTCAATGTCAATTTGGAAGGAGGTAACCAATGAAGTACCCCAGGGATCAATGATTAGTGCTATGCTGTTTAACATTTCCATCCAATGACTCAAATGAAGGCATAGATGGTATGCTTATCAAATTCACAGATGATACAAAGTTCGGAAAGCTCACTAACAAGTTTAATGACATTGTCAGTATCCAACACTGGGCTAAAAAGAATAAAGTTAAATTTAATAGGAATAAATGCAAAGTCATATATTTGTGTTCCAAGGTCTACTCCATAAGTACAAAACGGGAGAAGTGTGGCTAATAGCAATTTATCTAAAAAATCATGACAGTCCAAAAAAAAAGTTAATATGATGACATTATATCATATATTATATATAATGCATTAAGAGAGAGATAGTATCCAGAACTATGGTGGTGACTGTTACTCTGTCCTTTGCCCTGGTCAGATTACATGAGGAGTACTGTGTTCAGTTCTGCGTGCCACCTTTGAAGAAAGAGTGAAAATCTGGAATGTGTCTGGAGTAGGATGACAAAAATGGTAAAAAGGCTCAAGATAATGATATGAAGATTACTTAAAGTAGTATTTCTACCAAGAGTTCCAGAGGTACACTTCAGAATGCATGAGGTCTTGGATGGGGAAAAAAAAATGAAACATTGCATCTTTATACTAACTTCTCACTGAAATTTAGCATTTCCTTTTATTTAAAGTATAATTCTAAGCAGGGATCTATAGGCTTCAGGAGTCCATGACACAAAAAAGGTTAAGAGCCTCCTGAACTAGTCTAACCCTTAATTTTGCACATGAGGACATGAGGAAACTGAGGCCCAGAGATTAAGTGATTTGACCACTTGATAATCTCTATGCGCGTCCCAGAGTTACCTCTCTGATGCCATGATGCTATGACTAAGCATCACACAATGAGTTAGTGGCTAAGCCAGGACAAGAGTCCATGTCCCTTTCTGGAAGGCTGCTTTGTGTCAAAGAGGCTCAGGATTCTACGAAGGATTATCAAACTTGTTCTGTTTGGTCCCAGATGGCAGAATGAAGAGCAATGGAGATGGATGTCGCAGAGACAGAGATTTAACCTTGCTGTCAGGAGAAATTTCCTAACTTTTAGAGCTATCCTAAAATAGAATGGGCTGCCTTGGCACAGAGCAGTTTTTCCTACGTCAACATCTCCAAGCAAACACTGACAGATCATTTGTCAGGGCAATTCTTACTCAGAAATGGGCTGGTCTAGGTGACCTTTGAGGTGCCTTCCAATATACTGAGATTCTGAAATGATTGCCCACCTCATCAATAACTGTAATGAGGTTTCTCAGAAATTTTGTTATAAGAAGATATTGAGAACAATCAGAAGAGACACAGACATCCAAAGGGAGATTCTTTGCCAGTCTGCTTAGTAGGAATTGATATTTTAAGTCCCTATTCATCTTTGGAGCATACTAGGGAATTTGGCTCATAAATATTAAGATAGATGTCTTTTTTTTTTAATCTCTAGGCTAGTCTCTTTTGAAGGAAAATTCAAGATCATCATTGTTATTGTCATTATAAGATTTTGTTATAAAGTCACACGTTAACAAGGAAAAAACCCAACAACTTTTCAGCTCCCCAATAGATTCCTCACTTCTGAAAAAGATCCATGCTCTGGGTCTAAGCATTCCCCCTTTGTCATAGGGAAATCTAGTGATCAAACAAAAAAACAGCCACTCTAGAACAGAGATGAGCCTACAAGTACTCTTCAGATTTAAGATTTCTGGGCCTAAATGTGTAACCTAGTTTGTAGATAGTGGTATTGAAAGTCGCAGTAACAAGATCATAGAATCAGAGCTTTCGAGTTAGAAGGGATTTTAAAGACCAAGTACTTTAGCCTCTACCTTGAGGTACTGGAGCCCACAGAGGTAAACTGAGCCAGCCAAGGTCACACAGACACCAAGCAGCTAAAATTCAAATCCAAGCTCTCTGACTCTTAATTAAGAACACTTCCCATAGTAGCATGAGGTAGCATGAGGGTGTTGAAAATAATGCTGGAAAAAAATTCAACAGAGGCAGTACATCATAGTAGATCTCTATCTAACTAGTCTTGAAGCCAAGAAGACCTGAATTCAAGTCCTGTCTCTCATTTATGTATTGGCTGTGTGACTTGGGTAAGTTACTCAATCTTTCAGTGCCCCTAGGCAACTCTCTGGGACAGTAAATTGCAGAAAAGCTGCCAGCCTGATGTGGTACAGGGAATTCCCTCCCTGGGTGTTCCCTATGTCAATGAAATTACAGATCCAGTTCCTGTGCCTATCCACATACAATGCCATTTATCCTGGGAATGTGGCTCTGGTCACCATAAATCATAAAAGTCATAACAAAGCTTTATCATGTCCGGAGAAGGGCAAAGAAATTGCTCAAGGGGGTGGAACCATTTTCAGGACAGTTTGAAAAGACTGGAACTCTTCATTTGGCAATGAAAGCTACAAAGGGCCACAGAATCATAGAGGCTTGGAGTTAGAAGAGACCTTAGATATTGTTGAGTCTAAATTCTGTTACTATCATATCCCGTACCTGCTGCTGGGCCTCTCTTCTTTAAAAACAGGAAGTAAGGAATAAGTTCAGCTAACAGAATTCAGGTGGGCAGCTAAGAGAGGCATCTTGGAAAGAAGCTTAACTTATTTTTATTCTTCCCATCCTGGGATATGTGTACTCTAGGTTATATACCATGACCCTTGGCAATTCAAAAACCGACCCCTCCCTACTCCCTACCTGGCCACACATATAACACAATAAAGGCAAAATGGGAGAAAGTCCTAGGCTTGCAATACTAGGAGATTGCCACTGCATCTTCTCTAGACAAAAATAGAAATTCTGCTTGCAATCACCCACTCTACACTCTATTGCAAGGAATGGCCAGTCTGACAGGGAGGCAGACTGGTACAGTGGAAAGAGTAGCATGGGGCTCTGTAGTCAGAGGAACTGAGTTTATATCCTGCCTCTTTTACTTACTAGTTGTGTGACCAAGTCACTGAAATTTCTGGTGCCTGTTTTGTTATCTGAAAAATGAGGGGTTTGGACTATGCAAGCTCCTTTCCAGTTTTCTTTCATCTATGATGAAGAATATATCAGTTTTATTCTCACTGACTCTCCTAAATTACATGGTCAACTGCAGCTCCCACCCAGCCCACTGAAGAAATGCCAGTACAATCAGCCTCCTATTCCTCAGTTAGTCCCCCAAACCCTGGTGCAGGTGTTTCCAGGAATCCCCTGACATGATGCGTGGTGTTTGCTCCCTCCTACCTCTCCTTATCTCCATTACCTGAAGCGCCTCATTCTTCCTACTAAATTGACACTTTCCTTTAACATTTGAGGAAACTGAGGCCCAAAGACATTAAATAACTGGTTTGGGGTCACACAAGACTAGAGCCAGATTTCTTTTTGATCCAGTGTTCTCTTTATGATGCCATGATATACGGAAACACTAGAGAACTCTATTTAAAATGTATGTAAAGTAATAATTATAGATTAGGTGAATGAGGAACATATTTGCTAAAACCTCAAACAGAAATCTGTGTATCCTACCAAATAGCCTACTTTAATAGATGGTATTTACTGTCATTCAAAGTCCTCAAGAAGAGGCTGTTTGGCTACTAGTCAGGACATTTTATTTCCTGCTACTCTTATTTCCTGCTGCTCCACCCTCCAAACCATATCACTAGAAATCATGCCTGAGATAAGCTAAGCAACTCAGCTCTAGACACCTTGGAACTAAAGGTCCCATCTTCACTAGGGCCATCTTCAACTCAGTAGCTTACAGCTGTATGGTATGGTCTTCACTACTCCCTCCCTTTTTACCACCTCTTGCTCCAAGAAAGGTAATCAAATTAACACTACGATTGCCTCGGGAAAGAACAAGTCAACAGATTGTCCTATTGTTCCACTTATCATTACTTCCTTCCCTGGCCACAGTGTTATCCAGCCCACTCCACCCCCATCAGAATGTAAGCTCCATGAAAGCAAGGACTCTCATTTTTGTATTTGTACCCCTAGCTCTCAGCATAGTGCTTGACATGTAATAGTGGCACTTAATAAATATTTTTGATTCATTCATCCTATAAAGGTCATTCATCTTTCAGGGAAGAGTGAACTGGAGGATCATTGAATTCCCAACACACTCAGATATTCTGTTACACTACGACATAACCCTCATGGTGTGTAGTATAGTTTACTGGTGCACTCAAGAACACGGGCCTCAGAACTGGAGTGTGTTGCTGGCATAACTCATTACAGGAAGAGGCACAAGATCCAGAAACAGGTACATTCCTGAGGTCAAAGCTAAGAGTGAGTCTGCCCAGATCCCTGGGGGAGTGGCATCAAGGCAAGAACCAACAGCTGCCGCAAGAATCGACGCCCACTGTCTACAGACAGCCCTTCATGGCACCCAGACCCAGCTGAACCTGGATTCCTCCCTGAAGTCCAGCCATGTTATGAACAATGCTGAGTGCTAAGGAGCATGGGAAGAAAAATTTCAAAGTGCCAAGTTTATTAGAGTGAGAGATTATCCCCTCACATTTCCACAGAGGCACCATCTCTAGAGGCACCTTAATCTCCTTCCCAATGCTGGTTCCCAAAGGAAAGGAATGCGAAAGAAGTGAGGGAGTTTGGAACAAAGTATTTGAAACTCCAGCTCCAAATTATCAAAACGGGAACTGGTAAATTTCATAGAAGTGGAGCCCCTTGGCTCAGGCTCCAGGGTAGATCTCCCAGATAGTTACATTTCCTTAAAGAAATGGTTCCCAAAGTCCAGGCCCCACCCCAAATCCCTTTGCCCTATATCTTTATAGTGAGTGTGTGTGTTTGTGTGTGTGTGCATATGCATGCTTGCATGCATGCACCAATGGGCAATGAGTGGAAGGTTTGAAGCTTATGTCCAGCTTGCTGATTTTTGTTTTCAGACAGGTTCTGTTACAGTGCTGCAGTTGACTGCTCCCTTCCATAGAAGTATCACGTCCATAGGCCCAAGGGGATGCCCCTGAGTAGCAGTTATCTTTGGCGTCCGACCAGCTGTAATTTGGCAGTCTTGACTCTATGTGCCTCTGACAGGTTCCGCTTTCGAACATCAGAGTTGGTGATGAACTCCACATGTGACAAAGGGAACCAGCCCCTCTCCCCATCTGACAGCCTCATACCCTCCAGCCAACCTGGTGGGAGAAAGGGGGAGGGATGACAATGTGGGTGTTGGGGAGAGGAATCACCTGGACAGCCTCTCCCTCAGTCTCAGACCTGGAATTTTTTCTCAACCACAGAGTTTCCTGAAATGGAGGCCACCCAACAAGGTGAATCATCCTTACCCCTCCCCACCCACTCTTCCAGCCTGAATACAACAATATTGTTCAGTGATAATAAGTCCTCAGGCATTTAAAAAAAAGCCTCTCTTATTAGCATGATCTCTGTTTACAACTCTCTTAGCTGTTAGTAAACCTTCTCCATGAACAATCCTCTCCCTCTATCCCTTATCCTCCTTCATACCCATTCTTCTTACCATCACTGCTCTGCTGAGTCACCATCACCACATCTGCTTTCTCTAGTGCCAACTCATCATTCTCTCGAGGTTTATAAGAACGTAGACACTGAACCTGTGGGGAGTCTAGAGAACAGGGAAAGTGTGGAGGAGGCAAAAAAAAAAAAAGGCGATTGTGACAGAGATGACCAAAGATGGTTGAGCCTTCCCCCTGAGGCTCCTTCCCTGAGTCATTGCCCAACCATCAGCAGCATGCCTCCTTCCTTCCTCCCATTAAAGAAATGTGCCAAACAGGAAGGAGGACAAGACTTATAGCCATGCCTCAGAATCAGTCCTGACTGTGGTTTTTCTTTACTCTTTCTTAAATGGGCTATATCTGAGAGCAGTTGGAATGACAGACATTTTCCCTTTCTTAACTGCTGTCACCAGGCCTTGCCTGACCTCCAGGGATCTTGAATCTCTCTCCTGCCCCAATCTTCTTGCTTTAGGAGTGTCTTTTCATTTTCTTCTTTCCTCACCCCACAACCAGGGTTCATCTTATACCTGAGTGACAGTTCTGGCTCTGTTCCCACTTCTTTCTTCCCTCCTCCCTCTATTTCTCTCCAGCTTTCACCAGCCCCCTTATCCTTACCATGACATTCCAAGAGGTCCAACTCCTCTCTTGGAAGAGCTAACGCTGAGATCCAGCGAAGCTTTTCACTCCTGGAAAAAGAAAGTGGGGTCACAACTCCATCTGGAACATGAGAGGGTTAAGGATGAAGAAGGAGAATAGTAGGGATAAGAATGGATAAAAGGGGCACTGGGAGAATGTGAAGACTATCTAGTTACAAGATGTAGGGTAACTTCTATTAAAAATGCCTTCTGGAACCTGCTTAGTTAGAAGTCAGCCAAGTACTTGAGCCAGAATGTTATTTGTCAGCTCCTAATTGCTCAGCCTGCTTTCATTCCCATCTTCATTTATGATTATTCCTTCTGGCTGAAGTAACTCTATTTGAAAATGTCGGAAGGCAGTCAGACTTTCAATTATACATACATGGGCTATGAACTTTGTTGATTACATATTTTTCCAGCCTTATCACTCACTATTTCCTTAAATACATCCTATGCTCCTGCTTACTTACAATATCTTCTGATCATTGAATACATTTCTAATTTTGTTCCTCTATGATTTTACTCAAGCTCTTCCATATACTTGGAATGCCTCACCCCTTCCATTTCTGCTGTCAAAATTCTACCTTGTCTATTAATGCTCAGTTTAGATACTATCTCACCCTATAAAGCTCCTCTGATGATCCAACTGGAAAGAATCTCTCTTCTTCCCTTGTAGTACATCCTAGAGTTAATTTTATGCCCATCTTGGCTTAGGGAATGATGCTTTATTTATAATTGTTTTCCCTGAGGTACCTAACACATAATAGCTACTCAATGAATACTTGTTGACTAAAGAAAATGTTAATTAATAGTGTTTGCCCTATCCCTTCTGCATGCTTATGGACAGTCTCCTTCTATAGCTGAATTGGTATATGCTTGGAAATGCAAACTAATGCTATTATTATCTAAACAGAAAATTTGATTTTGAGAATAGCAGCAAAAAGATCCATTTCAAGTACATTTAGGAAAGTTAATTTGAGCTTTCTGGATTGTCCATGCCACTATTTCTATGTAATATTGTGGCTAATTGAGAGTTGGTTGTATTAATATTCCCAAAGGACTCTAGCAAAAACAAATCATTAAACAAAGGAGATATACTGGCTTTGGATAACCTGTTTACATAACGTATTCTTAGAAGGCCACAGTTTCTATAAGTTTCCACTCAACATAAAGAGTAAATAGAGTTATTATCCCCATTTTGAAAGCCCACACTGACCAAAGGGAACTGAGTGTATACGGCATATGTGGACACCCTGAGAGTAAAGCCATTCTGCAATATGAATAGTTCTCAAAAGAGTAATGGCAAATATTTAACAACCATATGAAAGACTGCTCCAAATTATTTATAAGTGAAATGCATATCAAAACAACCCTTATCTTTGACTTCACACTTCACTCAGCAAACTGGCAAAGATGGCATACAAAGGCAGCAGTCAATATGGCAGGGGTTGTGGAAATACAGGCACATTACTGCACTATGATGGAGCTGAATTGGTTCAACCATGCCGGAAATCAACTTTGTTGGAGTTGTGTAAAGAAAGTAAGTGAAATGTCATACCCTCTGACCTAGAGATTTCACATATACTCTAAGGAGGTCAACAGTGAAAAATAAGGTCCTATAGAAACCAAAATAATCATAAGAGTCCATGTTGTAGTATATAAAAATGGAAACAAGGTAGTGCCCTCTCATTGAAGAATACTGAAACAAACTGTGGTACACATAAGTAAATAAATATTACTGTGCTATAAAAAACAATGACTATGACTGAAACAGAGAAGTTTGGAAAGATTTATATGAAATGATCTAAGCAACTTTGTGAATGTTCCTTAGGTAGGCCCCTGCCTCATCACCACTTCCTACTAATGTCTTCTTTCATTCCCTCCCAGTCACTGATCTCCATCTCACTGAGTCTCCGTGCGAAAGAGGAACTCGGCCTGGGTGCCTTGTGCGTTGTGCCGGAGGAAGAGGCGGAAGAGGTTCTTGTGTGGTCCATGCAGCTTCATTTCACACTTCTCCCCCCGCACAGATGAAAAAGGGGCATGGTCAAACACCAGGAAGCGGTTGCCCCTGTAGAGAAATAAAGAGTGTCAATCTCATTGCACAGATTTTATTCTTTCTCACTTACATTCTTAGCCCCTCTCCTACAAAGCTTCCTGAACCTGCAGATTATTATATGAGTCACAGAATGGCGGTCATTTGACTACACAAATTCCTGGCTAGGAATCTGAGTCAGGATTAGTTTGGCCTGGGGGTTTTCCAGGGGATCATACTCCACAGGTCAAATGACTCCAGAAGTTAGGTCTGAGGTATCATTATAAGCTCTGAATCAACCCTGATCTGAAGAAGATGGTTCAGACTTTAACCATCCTTCCCTCTCATTTTGAAAATTTAGGCCCAAGTATGAAAAAACCTAAGGCCTGAATCTGATGTTTCAATCAGTTATCTAGCATTTATTAAGGATCTAATATGTGTCAGTTGCTTTATAGACTTAGCTAATCATGGGGGATACAAAGAAAGGCAAAACAAACAAAAAATAAAACAAACAGAAAAGAATCCCTGCTTTCAAGGAGCTCATAGTCTAATGGGAGAGACAACATGCAAATAACTATGTACGAAAAGCTATATACAGGATAGATTGGGGCAGTCTCAGAGGAGAAGGCACTAGCATTAAGGGAAATTATGAAAGGCTTCTTTCAGAAGGGAATCTTAAGTTGAGATCTGCAGGAAGCCAGGGAAACTAGACGAGGAAGATGAGAAGGAACAACATATCAGGTATGGGGGATGCTCAGTGGAAATGCTGAGAGTCAAGACATAAAGCTATTGCAATAGTCCAAGTGTGAGGTGGTAAGAGGCCTACACCAAGGTGATGGCAGTGTCAAAGCAAAGGGGAATGATACACAGGAGATGTTCTGAAGGTAGAAATGACAGGACATGGTGGGTGAGAGAAAATGGGGAGTTGAGGATGATGCCTAGGTTTTGAGCGGTGACTGTGAGGATGGTGGTACACTCAGTAGTAAGAAGCAAGTTAGAATGAGGTGACGGCTTAAGGGGACAGATAATAAGTTCACTTTTGGAATGTTGAGCTTAATATGTCTGTAGACCACTTAGTTCTAGATGTCTAATAGGTAGTTGGAGGTGTGAGACTGGAGGTTGGGAGAGACATTAGGGCTAGACAAATAGATGAGAGAGATGATAATTGAATGCGTAGTAACTGATGAGATCACCAAGTGAAATGTTATAGAATGAGAACAGAAGAGGACACAGGACAGAATACTATGGGACACCATAGTTAAAGGGCATGAATTGGAAGTGGATTCAGTAAAGGAGCCTTAGGAGCAGTCAGATAGTTAGGACGGGTACACATTGTAGGAGTTTCATTCATTGCAAAAAGTTAAATTGTACACATAGCAAACAGCTAAAGTTGCAAAGAGTTAAGAGATTGAAAATTAAGAATGTACAAAACCCATTATAGATGTCTTTCTCAAGGAGTTTAGTCCTAAAAGGGAGGATAGATAAAGGATGATATCTAAAGGGGATGGGCAGATCAAGTGAGGCATTTCTGAAGATGGTGAAGACATGTACATGGGTGTGGGCAACAGGGAAGCAGCCAATAGACACAGAATAACTGAAGATTAGTGAGAGAGTAGAGATGATGAAGGGGAGAAATCTCCTAGAGAGAATGGGATAGAATGGGATCACTTCTTGGTGCAGAAGGAGTTTGTCTTGGCAAGAAGGCTCACTTCTTCACATGAAATAGAAGTGAAGGAAGAGTTAGTGGCATAAGGTATCTAAATGTGAGATGAGCAACAGGGGAGAAAAGGGAGCTCTTTGTGAAAGGTATGTTTCTAACCTGTGACCATGGGAAGTGGGGAGGAATTATGCAAAGTTTGAAGAGGGATGAAAAGGTTTTGAAAAGCTTTTATGGTCAGGAGAGTGAACTGGTTAGGGAGCTGTAGAAGGACTGCCTTGCCACAGCAAGGACACAGTGGAGATCAGGTAACAAATTTGCAGTGGACTAAATCAGTTTCCTGGGTTACCCTCACTCCATCAAATAGAATCCTAGAGTCTCAGAGTTCTAGAACTAATGCAGCTTCAAGACCTTTTGGATCAAGGCTGACCCCAAATGCTGCTAATTGGAGGGAACCCCAACTCCAATCTTGGGCACTAAATCACTGAGCTATACCTAGAGCCACCAAGGGGGCTGTAACCAATCGAATCGAATAGGGGATGTAACCAATCAAATAACTGTTCTGATCTCTGTTTTAATTACTGAATTTCAGCTCTAAATTCTGACTCCATCACAGGAGCTTATTTGATCCCTAGATTTCCTCCCTCTTTTATGACAGTGCTTTCCCACAACACCATGAGTTTCCAATAGGTCAGTGAAAAGGCTCCCCCATGGAATATATACCACCCCTCTACCTCTCTCCACTCCCCAGGCCAACTAAAGTTATCCATTCTGCTCCTCCACCTAGTTTCCCACCCTATTTTCCCTCCCAATCACTAACTCTCGAGGCCGTGATAATAACAGGCAGTCATTGAAGAGATGCAAGTGGACAGGTCGAGTGGCCAGTTTCCTCCGTAGCCCAGGTGACACACTGGACTCAAGGGCTGTTAGCTCCCCACTCTTCACCAACCATCGTGACTGTGAGATCAGTGGGAAAATCTATGTAGAAGGAGCAGAGAGGGAGGGAATTGTCACAAATTGAACCACAACTATCTTCTTCTATTCTCTGTTCTTTCCTCTAGGCTTATCCTAAATGACCATGTTACTTCCCTTCTCCATTCTCCACTCATACACACCTAGGGTCTTTCTTATACTTTCTATTATTCCCCCTCCTCCAAAAAAACAAACCAAAAAAACTAGGAAGAGTACTGAACCCAGGTTTGCGCGCGCGCGCGCGCGCGCGCGCGTGTGTGTGTGTGTGTGTGTGTGTGTGTGTGTGTGTGTGTGTGCCTGTATGAAAGGATGTTTCCATGTTTGGTATTGGGGGGAAAGGTAGAAAGAACTTAACTATACTCATCTTAAATTACTTAACTAAATATAACTTAAGTATACATCATATATAACTATATGGCCAGCCTGTTAACCCTTGCCAAAGGAGAAATTAGAGACCTGAGTAAGAAAATTAGGGGCCTGCTTATTACTAGGAATTGAAGGATTAGAAATGAGCGATTTCATTACCAAAAGGACATTTGTTGGAAACTGTTCTGGAAATCAGTTTATCTTGTGCTATAACTAAGGATTTTGGAGCAAAGTCGGGAACAGCACAAACTAGATATAGAAGGTGAAGAGTGTCAGGGGTTAGGGGTTAGGATTTGGGTACAAAGAATTATCTGTTCTGTGTAGGGGTCTGGGTGGAGGGGATTTCTGAAACAGTGTTTTAGATAGGAGACTCTTGATAATAACAATAATAATGCTAATGATAACAACAACTAACATTTACATAAGTACTTCAAGGTTTGCAAAACTCTTCATATAGTCTCATCTGGTTCTCATAACCTGTAAAGTACATCCTATTGTTATCTTCATTTCACAGATGAGCAAACTAAGGCTAACAGAAGTTAAGTGACTTGTCCAGAGTCACTCAGCTAGTAAATATTAGGCAGGATTTGAACTCAAGTCTTCCTTACTACAAGCCACTATACTATATGCATGATACTGAAGCAAGGGAGATGAAAGGGACGAGGCATGCCTGAATTGAGTTTGAATGCGGGATATATAAGGCCAGGATTCATGAATAGAAGTTACTTTAGGATTTTGGCATGCACTAGTGGTTAGACAGGATTCTAAAGATGAGAGGACTGGATACAGGGTTGTGGAAGGATAAAAATGTTAAAGATGAGGGTTAAAGAGTTAAGCCAGGTTAAAGCCTAGTCAGAGGCCAGTAGAATGGTACTTAGAAGGTCATTTGGAAACTATAAGGCCAGACAGAGAGTCAGGGTTGGGAACTGGAAGTGGCGTGAGAGATTGGAGGGACTCACTTTGCACTCAAACTCAATCTTCTGACTTAGGTAGATCAGTTCTTCTGTCCGTCGCATTCTCTGGACATTGTTATTGCAGTCTCGGATGAGCTGGAATGTTGGGAAAAGATGGGGAAACAGGAAGAATTACAGGTATTACAGACTTTGGCCTTTGACTATGCTGCTAAAAAACTCCTTTGTCCCAGAATCTGGAGAAATTCAAAATCCTTGCTTTTCATTAGAGAGCTGAAATTGAGCCCTCAGGTTCCTGTATTCTTTAAAATAGCAGGAAAGGATGACTGGAGGAAAGGGATGAAGGCACATTCCCCCAACGCAGGATATCTTTGGTAGAGAGACTTTTTTTTCCATCTTGCCTACTGAAAGGGGAGAATGTGGGGATGAGAGAGAGAGAGAGAGAAAGAGAGAGAGAGAGAGAGAGAGAGAGAGAGAGAGAGAGAGAGAGAGAGAGAGACAGAGAGAGAGAGAGAGAGAGAGAGAGAGTGTGTGTGTGTGTGTGTGTGTGTGTGTCTGAAAGAGAGAAAGACAGAGACAGAGACAGACTATCACACAGTTATGTGAGGAGAGGAGGCTTCACGGAATAAAAGAATGGTGACGCAGGGCAGAGAAAACTGGACTGTGTTTTTGTTTTTTGCTTTTTTTGCTGGGTAATTGGGGTTAAGTGACTTGCCCGGGGTCACACAGCTAGTATGTGTCGTGTGTTGTGTGTCTGAGACTGGATTTGAACTCAGGACCTCTTGATTTCAAGGCCAGAGCTCTATCCACTGTGCCACCTAGCTGCCCCTGGACTGTGTTTTAAAAGAACACTCATGAACCCAGATGTCTTTCCCCATTATACCATATATTATACAGCCTTGGATTCACAGGACTGGACTGGCAAAGAGTTCTCTACGGGTAAAGAAGAGATGCAAGTGGACACACTGAGGGGCCATTTTTCTTTGTAAGCCATGGGACAGACTGGACTTAAGGGCTATTAGCTTCCCACTCTTTAGTAGCCATCAAGACCATGAGATTAGTGGAAAAAAGCAGGATGCAAATTTAGGGCCTACTCACCTCTTCCAAGGCATGGTGTGCTTCTGTGGCCTCTGCTTCTTCCGGGGAGCCAGGCTGTGTCCTCTTAAGAATATTCTGTGGCAAAGGAACCCCATAGTTCAAAGCAGAGATGTGGAGGAAGGACAGATAAAATGGCAAGGAAACTAGGAAGGAGGGACTAGGAAGAGATTAGGAGCTGGGAGAGGACAAAGTGGGGCACAGATATGACTACAGGCAAACGTGAGATGGTTTATATCACTCTCAGAGTCTGGAATGGTTTGAGATAAGTGACCACTACACTGAAAGAGGCTCAATAAGGAGACTAAATACCTAAGGGTAGATCTTCAGGATTAGAGGATCTGGAAGGAGGTCGAGGTAGGGGGTAGAGGAAATACAAATTACCTGGAGCAGCAGTTTGAGGCGGGTAATACGCTGGAAGGGCAGTATCAGAAAAGACTTTAGGGAAAGGCGCTGGCAGATAGGGTCACTTTCTAGCTTTTCCAGGACCTCCCGGAAATTGCTGTTGCTGTTCCTGTCATTAACACAGAAATTTAGGTAGAAGAAACAGATAGGGCATATTCAAAGGAATGAGGACCATGGGGATGACATGGACTCTGCCTGGAGGAACTGAGATATGATGTGGAAGGAATGGACAGGCATTGACATGCATATTTTGGAGGTCCTAGAAACTTCTGGAAGGTCAGGATCTCACAGTAAGCACAAGGTATGCTATTCACAAGTAGGTATTACTTGGAGATTGGGAGGCTCAATAGGGTTGTGAGGAGAAATTATGCCAAGATGAGGCAGAGAAAGTGGTCTCACAGCAGGCTTTGGAAAGTGCGCTCCTGGTAAGTCTGGTTGGTGACGTAAGGTAGGTAGACACGCCGGAAAGCAGGTGCATGAGTCAGGACCACATCACAAACATGGAAGGTAAAGATGTCATGCTCGAAATTTTCTTCCAGGTCCGAGAGAAACCTGTGGTTCCCCCCACCAGATGTTGTGAGAAATCTGGGTCTGAACAGAGTAGTCAGGGTACTTCCCCCACCCCTGCTATTCCTTAAGCTACTGATTTCCCTCTTCCAAATGCTTAATTCCATCTCTTGGAAGTCCCTCAGATCTCTTGGAGGTCAACCCACTATTTAATTTGCCTCATACCTCTGCTCTCCTCTCTTCTTATCTCTGGAGACATCCTGATCTTTCAGTATGGTATAACTGTATAATATATGGTATAACGGGAAAAGACATCTGGGTTCAAATGCTGGCTCTAACACTTACCAGCAGTATGACCCTGGCCAAGTCATTTAATTCAAGTTCCTCATCTGTAAAATATGTGTAATAATAATTATGCTTCTGTTGTAAACCTTAAAGCACTGTATAAAAGTGATCTCTTTACTGAAGCCTCAAATTCTGACTATGGCCAGGATAGGGAAAGTCTTGCTAACCGGGAAGGATATTACTTTTGTAAATCATCAATATCTAGGAAACAATGGAAGGAGGAGATGATTCTCACATGGTGCTGACATCCCGCACATCTTGTAGACGAGAGAAGAGCCACTGGTGTTCCTGGTTAGACAGTGTAGACCGGAGCTGTGATGAGAGCTGGAAATGGTCTACAGCCACATGAAGACTTCGCAGATAAGAAGCTTCTGACATGATAAGTTCAAATTTGGCCTGGGGAAAGATGGGAGGGGACTAAGCAGAATGGAAGGCAGCTGGAAGAAGACCATCAACGGAGAGGGGACAAGACGGAACTGGAAAAGGAAAAGGCCTCCACCACTCCAATAGGATTTGGTGAAAGTCCCTTTGCCCCTACCCTTAGTCTACTTCCTTTCTCTAAGACTGATTTCCAACAAGTACAAGTTTGAGAGGCTTAATATCCTTCTATATGATCCCAATGCTACAGAAATGAAGGTAACCTGAAAACAGTTAAAAAGTCCCTCATACAGTCAAGGTAAAAACCCAGAGCACCCAGAGGAAAATCTTCTCTTGAAAAAGGTCACTTTGTTCTCAAGACCTCAATGATATTATATGTACCTATCCTGGGAGCAGGGGTTACCTCGATAGACACAAGGAAGGAAGGAAGGGAATAAGTTATTTATTAAATACCTACAGTATGCCAGGTACTGTTCTATGTGCTTTATACATATTATGTCATTTAATCCTCACAACTACCCTGAGAGGTATTTTTATTGTTCTCATTGCTACTGCTATTATTACCCCTAGGTTACAGTGGAGGAAGCTGAGGAAGATAGAGGGGAAAGTGACTTGTCCAGGATCACACAGCTATAAGTGTCTGAGACTGGATTTGAACTCAGGTCTTCCTGACTCCAAACCCAGTGCCCTACCCACTGAGCTACCTAGTTATCTCTGCCCCACGCAGGAAGGCACTGACCATAATTTGCCAACAATTAGCCCAGTGCACTACAATAAGTCCATTTGATAAATACTTATTGAATTGAATTAATAGGATCTTTAGTCCACAGGGAAGTAGCAATTTGGGATATAGACAGGCAAAGGGATTCAATTCCGTGACCACTCCGATGCAAATTCAGAAACCAAGATCAAACTCAGCCTCTTAAAATCTCTGTCTTCTGCAGTTTAAATGTCACCTTCTGCAGACCTTTCTCAGTCTTCTCAGCTGCTAGAGCCTTCTCTCATGGTTATTTTCCAGCTACTTGCACATACACACACACATATACATACATATACATTTACATATATATATATATATACACACACACACACACACACATGTGTTCATAAACACACACACACACATTTATTTACTCATTCATTCATTCATATGGCATCTCCCTCATTGAAATATGAGCTTGAGGGTGAGGTCTCTATTTGTATTTCTTTGTATCCCTAGCGTCCCCAGTCCCTAGCATATTGTAAGTGCTTCATAAACGTTTCCTTTTTGGTTGGTTGATCATGAGTTGGCATATATAAGAGGAGAGGAAAAGGGAAGGTGCTAATAGCTTGAATACAATCTAAAATTCTTCAGAGAGATTTCTCCATGAGCTAATGGCTGGGGATCCTGCTGAAGTGGGTAGGGTGTGGAGGGTGGGGCGGGTGACGCCAATCTGTATCTCCCAAGCCCCTGTCCCCTGTCCCATCCCTCTCTTACCTCCTGCAGTTTTTGGTTCTCGTGAGTCATGGACAGCAGCATGGTGCTATTGCGGACGCGGGGGATGTCTTGCCACAAAGAGGCACTGGAGGCAATGGAGAGGCGCTGAAGATAAGAGTCTGGGGTGACTGGAGATCTACGGGGCTGTCGGGGAGAAGCCGGGCTGGACCCTTCGATCAGGCTGTCCAGCCTCTGCTGGTTTTGGATCTCTTTGTTTAGAGCCACATCACTATATTCCTGATAAAGCAGGTGGGCTATAGAAAGGGAGGATAGAAAGGAACAAGAAAAGAAAAAAAAAAAAAAAAACTTAGAATGAACCCGTTAAACTGGCTCTCAATGAGTTCTCCACTCTGACTCCCACTGATACTCATTTCAGCCCGGATTCACTGCTCTGTCCCAAAGTACTCACAAGAATTGATGAACTTTGAGCAGCGCCTGGCAACAGTACCCATTACTTCCCTTGGTTTCTTCTCTCTGTGAAGCAGAGATGGTCAATGGGTGGCTGACATCATTGGGAAGAGACATTCACTGGGTAGCTGGGATATCTGACTATCTCTTATGCCCTCCCCCTAGGTACATATGCTCTAGAGAAATGCCAAAAGGAGATCTGGGTTTCTTTAGGATATTTCTGAAGCCCCTATAAATCCAAAGGGATATTTTTCAGAGAGACGGTTCAGGAATAGGACTTGGGGGAAAGGGTCAAGTAGACCTACCTGTAAGTCCAAGGAGTGTCCTCCACTTAAATGTTTCCTTTAGAATGCTGATGTCAATAATTTACCCCTTCCCCCCAACCTTGGGTAGATAGGAACACTGAGAATTTTGAGGGCCCAGAAGGATGGATTTTTTCAGGTTCTGGACCCTAGTTATCCATAAACTGAGATTCTGTAGGAGGCTTCAGTACCCTGAGAAAAAAGGATGCACAGATGTGTATGTTTGGGGGAGGGAGGGGTTCCTTGAAAAGAACTCACCGAAGAACAATCGTGTCTGAGGGACAGGGAGGTTTTTCCATGGGGGGGCCTTCCCTATCTGGAAATAGAAATGGGGAAAATTACTTAGGTTACAGGGATTCTGGGGGACAATTTCACAACAGAGCAAGGACGAAGGTGAAAGTCCCAGAAAGGGAGACAGGCACTGCAGAAGGACAGTGGGAGGACCCTGACCCCTGGCCACCAAAATTACCTCAAGCAAGCAAAGCATGCATTGTTCAACCTGCGACATTCACAAAGCAGAGGAAGCAATGAGAGTCCTGCAGCTCTCCGATCTGATCAGACCTCTTCTGAGGTACTGAGCTTATTTCTGGGAAAACTCGTATTGAGAAGGAAACTGACAAGCTGGCACATATCCAGAGGAGGGGGACCACGAAAGTGAGAAGCATAAGAACCGTACAAAAAAGGCTCACTGGAAGGAACTGCGGAGAGTAAGATGAAAGAAAGGTAGAAGAAGGAGGACAGGACAGCTGTGTTCAGAGGGTTTCACATGCAAATGGAATTAAACTTGGTTTGTTTTGGTTTCAGTGGGTTGTAGTAGGACCAGTGATGAGAAGCTCTGGAGAGGCAGATTTCACTCTAACACAAGGGAAAGCTAACACTTAGAATTCTATGAAAATGGAACAGGAACATTTTAAAGTAGTGAGTTCACTGTTCTTGGAGGTCTTCAAGTGGTGAGTGAATGCCCACTCTTTAGGGATGTTTGAAAGGGTATTGTTGCTCAGGCCTGAACTGAGCTAGGAGATTCCTAGTTTCCCACCCTACCCTCTCTGTCCCTCCCTCTACACACACACACACACACACACACACACACACACACACACACACACCCCTTTGGGGATTCCTATTTAGCTACAGGTTGAACTAGGTGACTTCTAAGGTCTATTCCAACTCAGAGATTCTTTGATTCCCAACAAGCAGTCATCCAGATCTGTTCAAAGATAAATCATGATGGCAAATCCACCTTAAAAAAAATTTCCTCTTCAAGGGACAACATAGAATCCTGAAAATTAAGAAAACAGGCACAGAGGAGCCACATGTTCATGTCTGAGGGAATGAAGAAGAAAAGGAAGAGGGATATGGAAAAGGAAAGAGATTTGAATTAGGATGAGGGTAAATTATTAAGAAGCACACGAGAGAGGAAAAGAGAGGAAGAGGGGAGAGAGAAGTAAAAGCATTACTGTGAGGTTAAGGAAATACTGAAGTGCTCTGTACATTGGATATGTCATTGGCCAGAATCACACAAGTATAAGCACCACAGGGGATGGTATCTATGTGAAGCTTTTGCTGATAAGACAATCCTAAAATGGAATGTAGCATACACCTGACCCAGATGAAGTCCCTGAGGTATTCCAATCACCCAAACATCACTGGAGTGTTTATATTCTTTGTTCTCTGGGGATTATAGAGGGGAAAAAAAAAGATTGGAGTTGAGGGGAGGATTGGGCTTATATTAACATGAGAACTTGGTCAAGTAGCAGAGTGGAAAATGGGATGAAAAATGAAGAAGAAATTTCTGCTTCAGTTGAGCCAGAATCAGAGAAGGTGAGAGTTGGTAGTACACTTTAGAAAGATTGAAGGTGTAAAAATTAGATCAATTCAAGCCCAGGGACCTCCCTACGGAGAGGGGCTGGTAAGGTGAGAGGGGACAAGCTAAGTGGCATGGTGGATAAAATGCTCAGCCTAGTGTCTGGGAGGCTTGAGATAAAATCCAACCTCAGACACTTCCTATTTGTGTGACCTTGAGCAAGTCACTTAACCACTATTTGCCTCAGCTTCTTCATCTGTAATACAGCACCCACCTTGACATATGAGATAACGTAAAGCACTTAGCATACTGCTTGGCACATAGTAAATGCTTTACAAATATTAGCTATTGGCACAAATTTGTGGGTTGGGAGCTAGTAAAGGAAGAAGCTAAAGATCATGTGAGAGTAGAGAAACGGTATTGAGGATGATATTTTAAAAGAGAACGAGGGAGACATAAAGCCATGGGGGATGGGATGTGAGAACAAGAAACCATGTGGGAAAGCACACGGGGCTATGAGAGAAAAAGGCATAAGAGGAAGAGATGAGGACAGCAAGCTGTGGCAGGGAAGCTGGTCTCAATAGGACCTGCAATTCTTTCTTCAAACGGTGCCCCCCTTCTCCTTTCAATCCACTTCCTGTGACTGATGTAACATATAGGATGATGGCCTTTGCATTACTCACCTAGGGTTTCCCCAGGGAAGACAGATGGTTTGCGCAGGCCTTGCCGGTTCCATCCCTTGGTCTTGTTCTGCTCCTCAGCAGGACTCTCTGAGCGCTCACCACTCACTTCCAAGAATTTCCCAGGATCTTTCCTGTGTGGCCAGCTGGATGATTTCTCCAAAGGCGGGTGACTGGGTTTCCCCGACTGCCGCACCATGCCTCGATCTGACCTCCGGGGCCCGTTACCATCCCCTTGAAGAGCTCCTTTGCTCAAAGTCCTCAAAGTCCCTTCTGATTGCCCATGTTCAGCCTGGACTCCTCCCAGGATAGAATGCTGTGGGGCCTGGGTCATGGAAGGAGCCGGGGAGGAAGGACTCAGCAAAAGGAAGTTGGTCATGTTACTGAAGGCCAGAGGAGAAGACATCTCCCTTTTATTCCTGCCAGGAAAGTTCAAAGTGTCTGCTGGCCTGTCCACAGCTGGAGGCCAGGAGGTACGTCCAGCAGAAAGAGGAGAAGGGACTTCCCAGTTCCCTCCAGGTACCTTGGAGGAGCCAGGTTTTGACCTCAACTGATCTCCTACATCTACAACTGTCCTGTGAGTACTGTTGCTTCTCCACTTAGCCTTTGGGGGCAGTGGAGGTGGCTTGGTGTCAGGATCCGAAATGGGAAGAGGAGGAAGAGGTTTGTTTTTCTTACTTAGGGTGGTAGATGTGGGAGGGTGGTAGGGCTGGGGTGTGATAGGGGTGGGAGGTAGTGGCTTATTGTACCTCAGCCTAGGAGTCTGAGTATGGTGGGAAGTGTCTGTGATGGGGGTAGAAGGCAGAGGTCTATTCTGTCTTGCCTTAACAGGGAGAGAAGGTCTTTCAGGGGAGCCAGGTAGTAATGAAGCTAAGGCCAAGGTGGGAGGATGGCTATACCGTTTTTGGGCAGGGGGCTTGGCATGATGACTGCTATGTTGTGCTGCCAGGGGAGGATGACTGTGCCGCTCCCGTAGTGGGAGGGGGGGCAGCAGTTCATGTAATCCCATTTCCACCACAGATGAAGAAGGAGGAGAGCCATGGATAAGTCCATCTGAGATGGAGGCTTCCTTTTTTGGTGGACACCAAGTTTGGCTATCGGTAGCACCAACCATCTCTAAATATGGGGTGAATTCTTGAAGTTGGCTCAAGGAGGAAGGGTCGGAAGAGGGCTCCAGCCTAGCCTGCTCCTCCCTTCCTGGGATGTCAACATGGTGGACTGCAGGCTCAGAGAGTCTCTGAGTCAACTCTGAGTGATAGAAGGAAGCTGGAGTCTGGGCTAGATACTGAGGCTGCCCTCCCCCAAAGGAGCTTGGAGCAGAGTTACTCCCATGGTACTGGATGGTTTCCTCAGAGGCTTCTGAGAGGTTTAGGGTGCTGGCCCAGTCAGAGTTGGCATGTGGTACCAAGGGAGCCTCTCCAGGAGAGGGTATATGGATAATGTTTAAGGCAGCATCAGGGTCCCAGTGGGGAAAAGAGAATTCTTTGTCAAAGGAAAAGGATTTAGAGAATTCTGGCCCATGTGATGGGAGTGAAGAACCTCCCATTGGAAAGAAGGTAGGGGGGCAGGAAGCTGATGAGGTGGTTGTGTTGGGATCCGCCTTGGTAGAACTGAAAGGAGTTGAGGCTTCTGTTCTAGGAGCTATAGCGATTGGCCTTGGAGGTGCTGGCTTCTTCCCCAAGATAGGCATTGCTCTGTCTCCTAGACCATACTCTTCCTCCCAGCCATTTTGCTCTGCTTCTTTCTCAGAATTCTTTCCAGAGAGACTTTGAGGAGGGATGGACTGGAGAGGCCCTGATGACTCCTGGCCAGGCTTCAGAGTGGAGTCTGGGCAGGAAGAGTACATGGAGAGGTGAACTCTAGAAGACTCAGTGTTTATCCCTTCCTGAGTATCAGATTTTATGACAGTGGAAACAGGGTCTCCTGAGAAAGAGCCCCATGAAATATTGGCACCTGGGACAATCTGGGTCAATGGTAAGGAACCATAATACTTCTGAATCTCCTCATTCTCATTTCTCCTTGCCATTCCCTCTGCCTCCAGTGTTTCTCCAGCTACATTCTCCTGTTCTTCCTTACCTCCCTCTAGCTTCCACGGCTCCTCTACAGCTCCCTGTTTTTCCTTACCCTCATCCACTATCTTCCCCTGTTTCCCACTTAACTCTTGGTCCTTATCACAATGATCTGCTTTTCCCTGCTCCTCTACCAGCCCATTTCCTTGATTTTTCTCCTCTCCTACTTTCCCAAGACCCTGCTTCTCCACATCCCTGTCTCCTAAGTACCCTTCCCTGTGATTCTGATCTTCTACCTCCCTATTAAATGTCTCTCCTTCTCTTTGTTTTCCCAGAACCAATTCAACTTGTCCTTTATCTTCTTCTAGTTCCCTCTGTTCCCACTTCCCACGTTTCCCAGGATCCCTGGCCTCCTCTTGTCTCTGATGTAACAGCCCTTCTTGCCCTCCATTTTCCTTCCTCTCTTGGGCCTGGGACTCCCCCTCTTGCCGGGCAGCTCTTTTTCCTGCATGACAGATCAGACTGTTGGGTTCCTCAGGAGGAGAACAGGACCTAGCCTCATTAGAGGAAGGAAGAAAGCCTTCTTTCTCCACCATTTCACTGGCTTCTGACCTTTCAGTTTCCTTCAGAGGGTTAGGGACCTCTGGCCAAGATTCTACCCCAATCTCACTACTTATTTCATTGGGGATGGGGCCAATGTCCAGGCTAGCAACCAGGGTGGGGCAGACAGAGCTCTCCGTGGGGTTGAAAGGCACATGGCCCTCTTGGAGGCCCTGGGATGCTAGCCCTGAAGGTCTCTGAACTCCTGACTCTGCAGTCACAGCATCTCCATAGTCAGGCTCCAAAGAGCCTAGAGAATCCTCCTGGCAAAGAGTGGGTGGTGTCTCTTCAGTTGGGCTTGGATTACACAGATCTCTCTGCTGGGCCCCAAAGACACTATCATCATCCTCAGCCCATTCCCAGGCAGGGTCCTCTGTCTCTGCTGCTTCAGGCTCTGAACCAGGGATACAGCTGCTCTTCATGAGAGACATTGGAAAGGTGTGGCATTCCTCCAGAGCAGTAGCTGGAGTAGAAGCATCACAAGGAGGCCTTTCAGCCTCCATCAGGGCTGATTCCTAAAGAGAAAGAAAGGTCAACATCTTCCAACAGAAGCCAAAGCTGGGGGAAGGACTATGCTGCTTTTAACTATCTGACTTTTGGATCAATTTTGCTTTGGATCTGAGGTTACACTTGTATAGAGAAATTCAGAAATTCAGGAAACTCCCTCTACCACTGCAAGAGAGGCTACTCTTCTGGCAACTTACAACCTTGGAGAATTACCTCTGGCAATGGGAGGAGGTTAACTGACCTGCCCAGTCAGTCCCTGACAGAGTCAGTAGATGTTAGAGGTGGCACTTGAATCCAAATTCTCCTCACTCTGAAACCAGCCTATGAAATACTGCCTTTCATAGGGACCATAAAGAAGAAAGAAAGGAGACATCTGTTCTCTGTTCCTTGAATGGTCATTCTTCAAGGCTAAAATTATCTGGCAATGTATGCCTTTATCATCCAACCCACAATAGAAGTATTCACATCTATCATATTAATTTCCTCCTATTCATTCTCCACTACAAATTCTGCTCCCTCCCTGCAATTCCTCTACTTCAGACTCTTCTTACCTCTTGCTTACATTATTGTAATAATCTCCTAAGTGGTCTTCCTACATCCAGTCTCTCTCCTCCTTCCCCTGATCCATTTTTTTTTCCTTTGGTGAGGCAATTGGAGGTAAATGACTTGCCCAGGGTCACACCACTAGTAAGTGTCAAGTGCCTGAGGCTGGATTTGAACTCAGTTCCTCTTGACTCCAAGGCTGGAGCTCTATCTACTGCACCACCTACCTGCACCCCCTCCGTGATTCATTTTAAACACAGCTACAACAGTACTCATCCAAAGCACCACTCCAATTATGTTATCACTTAAGAATCTTCAACGGTCCCTCACTGCCTAATATCCAAACTGATTATCCTGGCACTCAAGGCCTTATGTGATCTGGTCTCAATTCACCTACCTGGCCCGCTACTCCATACCACCCTATGCTTCACTTAAACTGGTGTGCTCTCTGCACAGTCTCTGAAAGTTTGTGTCCCAGTATTATTATTCAAAACATCCCTTCCACCTAGCTAAGACTTTCTCCCCCAATTGCCTGTCAAAATTCTATCTTCCATTCAAGACAGCTCAAATACCCTTTTCCTTATTTTTTCCCCTCAGTCACAAATAATTTATCATTCCTATGAATCCGTATAGCATGTCAGTCAACTCTTCCTTATGGAATTTATCATTATTTACCTTGTCATTGTATATCTGTATACCTGTGTCCTTGATGAGGCTCATCAACTCCCTTATAAGACTGCAGAATCCTTTAGGGTTATGTCTGTGGCTTATTCAGCCATGTGCCACCCCCCCCCCCAGCCTCCCCCCCCACCAATATAACCTAGTACAAGGCCTTATATACTTTAGGGACTCAATTAACACTTGTTGGAACAATGACTAAATGAATGATATGGACAATTATATATACTTGGATAGGTAGCACTCACTACCTATTTACATTCCTAACTGTCCAACAGGCATCATATATGAAAGACACATGTAACCACATACACTATTTGGCATAGCTAGGTATTTACTACTTAATATTTAATCCAATTTATCAGACATGATTTAACCACCTATTATGTGCAAGGAGGCACTGTGTTGAATATAGGGGAGCAAAGACAAAAATAGGAGGTCTATGATTAAATTCTACCAGGGAATCAACTAAGAAAGTACAAGAAAATTTGAGAACAGGAGACATTCTGTCTGAGGGAAGCTTTGTAACTTTCCTCCAGACAGCTGAAAGGGGATTGCTTATATAACTCAGGCTCAGCCACTCAAGCAAGGTCCAAGACACTAAGCAAAGGTGGAAAGGCAGGACGTTGGTTCAGAGGATCATTAAGAGATAACCTATGTAAAATGCTTTGCAATACCTTTACAAGCTATGTAAATGCTAAGTATTATTAGTTCAAAATCCCAAGGCCATTAGCAAATATACTAAAGACCTTAGACTAGGGAAGCCAGGGAAGCGGAGACTTTACTGAGAGTCCAAGCAGCAGGGCCAACTGAGCACATCATTGACCAGAGAAAGATCGACCTAGGGGTTTTAAATACCACGTTGTACATGGCTGTATATCCTCCTCAGGCTAGCCCACACTTGAAAGTCAACCCTGCTTACCCAGTCCGCCTGCTCCCTCCCCAGTGAGGACCAGACACAGAAAATGACACAGTCTCGTCTACACACAAATGCGTACAGGGTAACAGGGCCCTGAGTGACTTCCAGACACATGACCCTACATACCCATCAGGTAGGACCCTATATATCCAACAGATATTACCACCAGTATAAGTGACAAGGGCCCATCCTCCCTCTCACTGTACAGAGTTTGCATGAATACCCAATGTTTCAGTTAGAGATAAACAGAAGTTTGTGTCCCATATCCAATTCTAAAGCACCACAGATAGCATGGCCATGTTACCAGGTTAACAGACAGACAGACCTCTGATGGGAAAACATTCCTGAAGATCTCACAGACACTGGGTAGAACATGACCCCTGTCAATCCTACAGATCCATTATATAATATTGTCCCATTCAAATATGAATATAATGACTGATGATTTTTGTCAGCCTTATGGCTACTATACATAATACGGCTCTTTTTGCCCCATCAGAGAATCAATCAATAAGCATTTATTAAATGTTTACTATATTCTTGGTATTTTAGGTGCTGTGAGGTGCTAGATTAGTGATTCAAAGACAAAAAGGAAATAATCCTTGCCCTCAAAAAATTCCCCTTTTGTTGGAAGAGAAAATGTATACTCAGATAATCGTAGACAAAATAAGATAAATGTAGACAAAAACAAACACTGTGCATTATATTAATAAAGGTCTGAAAAATATTTGTGGTTTGGGGGTAGGCTGAAAACTCAATATGAATAAACTCTGTGACGTGGTAGCCAAAAAAAAAAAAGCTAATGTGATCTTGGGCTGATGAAAGAGAGGAATAATGATGGAAAATAAAGAGAAAACAGACTCACTCTACCCTGCTCTGGCTAGACCACATCTGGGCCATTGTGTTCAATCTCGAGGACAATAGTTTATGAAGGGCACTGATAAGCTGAAGAGCATCCAAAAGGGGGGCACCAAATTGGTGAAGAGCCTTGAGTTTATAACATAAAAAGGTCATTAGAATGTGATCTTAAGGGAAGGTACTGCCTCACTTTTTAAATTTATAAGCCCAATACCTAGAACAGTACTTGACACATAGTTGTTATTGAATCATTTCAGTTGTATACAAATCTTTACAATCCAATTTGGGGGGTTTTCTTGACAAAGCACTGGAGTGGTTTGCCATTTCCTTCCCCGGCTCATTTTACAGATGAGGAAACTGAGGCAGAGTTAAGTGACTTGCCCAAGGTCACACAGCTAACAAGGGTCTGAGGCTAGACACTTAATAAATGCTTGTTGATTGATGGCTAATAGCTATCATTTATATAGCACTTTAAGGCTTTCAAAGTGTCTTATAAATAGTATCTTCATTTGTTCTCACATGAACTCTGAGATGTACGTACAAGTATTATCCTAATTTTACAAATGGGGAAACTGAGGGAGACAAATTAAGTGATGTGTTCAGGGTCACATAATAATAACAATAACAACATATTACATATATACGTATATACATACATACATATATGGGGGGAGGGAGGGAGGGAGGGAGGGAGAGGGAGAGAGAGAGAGAAAGAGAGAGAGAGAGTTTACTGACTCTGCTAATTGCGTTATAATTATTATCTCATTTGGTCCTCATAACAACACTGGGAAGTGGTTTCTATTATTATCCCCATTTTACAGATGAAGAAACTGAGGCAGGAAAATTCAGTGACTTGTCTACAGTCACCTACCTAGTAAATATCTGTAGCAGGATTCAAACTCAGGTATTCTTGACTCCAAGTCCAGTACTCTTTGCATTATAACACCTAGCTGCTTCCAATGATTTATCAGGTGAAGAAAATGGGGACATTTAGCTTGGAGAAGAAAATAGTCAAGAGGCCTCAAGTACTGTCATGCAAAGAGGAATTAGCCTTATTTTACCTGGCCCTTGAGGGAACAATCAGAAGCAATGGATGAAAATTGCAGTCAAATTCAGGCTTAATACAAGGGGAAACTTCCCAATGATTAGAGCTAGTTATAGGTAGAATGAACTGCCTCAAGAGATAATGGTTTCAGGGGCAGGTAGGTAGAACAGCGGATACAGCTCTGGCCTTGGAATCAGGAGGACCTGAGTTCAAATCCGTCCTCAGATACTTGACACTTACTAGCTGTATGACTCTGGGCAAGTCACTTAACCCTGATTGCCTCACCAAAAAGGAAAAAAAAAGGGAGAGAGAGGGAGAGAGGACGATTTTTTCCCCCTTCACCGGAGGGATTTTAAGTAATGGCTGAATGACCACCATTCTAGGGAATCTCATTGGGCATACTTTTTGTTGATGGACTAGATGGCTGTCAAGGTCCCTTCCAACTGGAAAATTCTATGGTTTTGTAAATATATTCACTCTGGTACACCATGTGTAGCAGAGTCCCCATTCACTCCATAGATGCTATATGAAAGAACAGAATTTACCTAAAGACACTGTAGGATTGAGTCCTTATTCAGTCCATGCACGTCTGTTCTATATCAATGTTATCCAGTTCCCTGTGTGTCATGTGGACTCTATCCATTCCATTAATGCCATTTTGTCCTAACCCTAAGCACCAGAAAATGCTACATGCCCTTTACCTTTTATCCAGTCCAATTATACATTTACTCCATGAGTTATATAGGTTCTATCCATTCAAAAGATATTAGAACTGAAAAAGACCTGTTTCTATTATGTAAATACCAGAGATTTAGAGCTATAAGAGGTGTTAGAGGCCATCTAGTCCAACAATCCCATTTAACATACTAGGAAACTGAGGTCCTGAGGCTTATCTAGGGTTACACAGCTAGTGTCAGAGGTACAGTATGAATCCAGGTAGTCTGACTTGAAAGCCAATTTTCTGAAATGGTCTCTATATACCCCCTAGAAGCTGTCTATCTGAAGGCACTTGTAGTGATTCTTTTCCTACCTTTTCCAAAGACATTATGACATGGTCTCTATAACGCCTAGATAGTTGTTTCAATAATTCCAAAGGTACTTGGTATGGCAAAACTGCAATCACATCATCAACACTGTGTTTCCTTATGTACTTGAAGACCCTTGGAACAGCAGGCTACTTCTCTACCTTAAAAGATACCATATATGTTATAACACATTCACTCTATATACACTGTGCCCATAACTACATGAAGACAATGAAAGTAACTTGATCCCTATTAACCTGCAGATACCACAAAACTGGGTCTCAGCCTTTTTTGCATCATGGACCTGTTTGGCAGTCTACAAAGCCTATGGGTCTTTTCTCAAAATGTTTAGAAATGCATAAAATTATACCTATATATATATACACACATATATGTATACATATATAATTATATATGTATGTATAGTTACAAAGGAAACCAATTATATTGAAATAATGATGTATTTTTTCCCATCCAACTTTACCGATTACCCCTCTCCACCACCTCCACTTCCACCCCTGTGAAATCTATCCACGGACCTCCTGGGTTGTGGGGGAGTGGTTTGGGGACCCCAGCTTAAGAGGCCCTAACATAGAGTATATCCACTCCAAAAATACTACATTTTAGGAAAAAAAAGTTTGTTTCCCACAGATGATGGGTGACATGTCACCTATTGACCTTATAAACAACTATCTTATATCTAGTGTATAGACATTTGTGTTGATATGCCTCCATCTACCACATATACATCATGTGTAATCGGGTACCCATTTACTCTATATCATGTATGATGACTCTTACCTTACGTTTAAGATACCAATGTGATATGACCCTTTCCAAAGATACCACATACAAAATTCATACCAAAGACAACAAGAGTGATTAAATATATTAGCCAGCCCCCTTATGGTTGCCATGTGCAAACACTGCTTTTATCTAGACCCTGTAGTGCTTAATGTAGTCTCCATATGCCTCAGAGACAAAGGGGCCATACTTCAGACAACCAGGTGACTTGTTTCACCAGGGCAGGTGTGCCCTCCACAAACACAGGTTATACATCCTCTATAGCTTAGTAATTACGTGTGTGTGTGTGTGTGTGTGTGTGTGTGTGTGTGTGTGTGTGTGTGTGTGTGTGTAGGATAATCCCCTGATGGCCAGACTTCTAATGATCAATCTCGTTGACCTTAGTGGGGATGGTACTTGAAAAGATTCCAGTTCTGGAGTTTGTAAGTGAATGCTTTTCTCCAACTAGACAGGACCTTCCAGAAATTGTGATTAGCTAGTATAGTCTTTAAGAGCTCAGATGATTTCCCTGTCTTTATGAGAGTCTTCAGAATAGGGCTCTAATGGAAGACAATAACCATATAACCCAGATTTTCTGGAACCACACCCACTTACAAGAAAAGAGGGTGCACTTTTATCAGCTGTAAAAAAAGAATACCTTCTCTCTGGCTATATGTCCTAATTATAAATGGTTGGTGATTGACTGATTGATGGTCCCAGTACCCAGAGAAAACAGAATGATAACCCTTATACAAATCATAGATACATTATACATGTCATATCTACTTCTTAGACCCAGTCAGCAAAACACTCTACCCACACCACTGAAACAGGGTAAAACTGTCATTATTCATTCCATTCCATACATACTTTATATGTCACATTGGTCATTACCTTATAAATACTAGGGTGCCAAAGGTGCCTATTTATTTACATGTCATTTCCTTTAGAATGCAAAGTTTTTTGGGGCAGGGGATTTTTTGCCCCTTTGATTTCTTATGCTTACACAGGGATTGGAATATAGTTCTTAATCTCTTAATAATGAATGCTGACTGATTGGTTGATTTATCTCAAAGACATTTTATATACCATGCATATTACTGCTCCCCAGCTACTCTCATTAAATAAGTCACTGCATATGACACTGCTGGCATTATCTACCCAACAGATACCACATGTAGAATTTCTATCTACCCCGTCGACACTATGTGAGACAAGACCCCTCAACATCTCACGTATATGACCTATCACGTGCATCTGCACACCTATATATACCCGAATTTACCACATTGTCCAAGTCTTGAAGGTGAATCCTGCTGAACCAGCCTGCCTGGTCCTCAGTCAGATCCTGACACAGCCCTATCCACACACAAACACTGATAATACAAATCCTTCCCCATCTTGGGGACATCCTGATCTATCCCTCTTCTATGCCAGAATCTATTGTGTATATACATTCCTCTCTTTATCCTCATGCACACTTCATACTTGCAATGCTGAACTGCTCCCTCAAAGCATCCTCTCTCACAACTTCCCGGGGCTTAAGGAAGGATTATTTCTATTTGGAGCCCTCAAGATGATTTAACTAAGTTGTTGCATGTTAAGGCCTGGGCCAGAAGTTCCTCCACATTTGAGGTACAGAGTTAACAGGAAGTTTGGGATATAGGCTAGTACAGAAGAAGAAGGGGCAAAATAGTGAAAGGGTTTGTTAAAAGTAGAGTGTGAATTAATGGGTAGAGTGGTGTACCTGGAGTCAGGAAGAACTGGGTTCAATTCTTGCCTCAGATACTTAACAGCCATCTGACTCTGGGCAAATTATTTAACCTCTCTATGCCTCAGTTTCTTCAACAGTAAAATGAGGGGGTTGGAGTCCATCGTCTCAAATGTCCTTTCCAGTTCTAAATTTATGATCTTATGATCCTATGATCTCCTAGATCATAGGAGAGTACTACAATAGCTACCCCGACCTCCTATAAGGCCTTACTTAAGACTGCAAAAGAAGGCACCAGAGGGAAGAAAAGGAGGAAGGAAGCCAAGAACAAAAATCCTCCTCCCACTACCACCACCACCACCTCCTCCTCCTCTTCCTTCTCTCGATTTATCAGGGACAACAGGATAACCTAACCCTGGCCAGAGTTCACTTTCATGAAGACAGGAGGAGTTATGCATCTGCAAATGAAAATCCAAGGCCAAGTGCGGACAGAGTACTGGACTTTTGGCAGGTTCATTACCTCAGCAAGTGTCTTCCTGGAAGTGGGCTACTGAGTAGACTGTGTTATGTTTCTGGAGATAAGGCTTTGGAGGAAGTACATTTTGGGAGGAGCTTGCTTCCAGAACCTGGATTTGGGGAGGGGAGGTTAAGGGGGGAGGCTCTCATTTCTAGATGAAGCATCCTTATTATTGAGAGGGTGTGTTGTGTATGTGTGTGTCCATATGTATGTCTGGATCTTGGGGTGTGTGTATCTGGAAGAAGGCCCCAAGTGTGGTTAATTCGGGAAAGAGATAAATATTTCTGGAGACAGGGTGCTTTAGAGATTCCTTATTATGGTGGTTTGATCTCTAGGGAAGGGATTCTGCGGCCCAGGATTCCAGGTGGGAGCCCTGATTTCTGGGGTTGCAGAAGAGTTAAGAGCTCGGAGTTGGGACAGCATTTCTGAGTTGGGAGCCCTGGAGCACCTTTCTCGGACCGGAGCATTTCTTTTCCGTCCTCCTCCTTTCCCTTCCCCAAGGGACTCACTCAAACACCTAAAACTCTTTGCCTATCTGCCCAGCCCCCCATTTCCGGAGTCTGCTCCCAGGGACCCAGCTGGAAAGGCCTCCTTTCCCCACCGTTCCCCACTTCCCCCTGAAGCCCCACTGGAGCTCAGCCTGAGCTGGGGGCAAGGGGAAGAGGAGGAGGGCACCCACCTGGTCAGTGTCACATGGTCCGAGCTGTCTGGGTAGAAAGATCTCCACTGGGGTCCCAGCTCCTGCCGGCAGTCCCCGACTCAGGCCCCAGCCGCCCCACCCTCCTAGCCTGCCCCTCCCCTCCCAAAGCGGGAGGGATCTCATTCTCCTAGGAAGTTTCAGGTGAGGCAACCCGGGACACACCTTCCTGGGGGTGGGACGGGACCCATCTATGCTGCGGCCTCATTGGTGTGAGAGGAGCCAGGCGTCAGCCCTGGAAAGTGACTGGGGCCCCAAGAGGAGCCCGGGGAGCAAGGGGAGGGGCAGGCTGTCCTGGGAGAGAGTGAAAGAAGGAGATGTCTGGTAGGGCTGAGAGCGAGCAGGGTTGAGTAGGGAGATGAAGCCAGCGAAGTGGGAAGAAGGTGGACCAAGTTGGGAAAGAAGATCGCCAAGGAAAGACAGGACTGAGGGGTGGGGGTAAGGGGGCCGGGGCAGCGAGGACCGAGCTTGGAGTGACGCCGAGGTGGGGCCGGGAGAGGACTCTGAGGGGGGAGGAGGAGAAGGACAGAGCTGGGTTTATCTGTCTCTGGGTATTTTCTCTCTCTCTGGGTATGTCTCTCACTCTCCGGATCTGTATGTTCCCTGTGCCTTTATGGCAATCTGCATTTACCTGTACGTTCTCCCTGCGCTGAGATTGTTCTTTTATGTCTCTATTTGTATCCCTTTCCGGGCTTTTGGGTCGATCTATCTCCGTATCTGGGTGAGAGAGTCTCTTTGCCTTTGGAGTGTGTGTGTGTGTGTGTGTGTGTGTGTGTGTGCGCGCGCGCACATATATACACATATATGTATATATATATTTTTATATATATGTGTGTGTATGTGTATATATATATCACACATATATACACATATAAATATGTATATATATGTATTGTTTCTTTTGCTCAGAGTTTGTTACTTAGTATCTATGTCGTTCCATATCCCCGGTTGTTAGCCTTCTGCTTTTATCTGTCTTCCTTTTCATGCTAAGACTATGCCTTGGATTGTACTTCTCTATGAAGCAGAGTTTTGTCTCAGACACCTAGTGTCTTTTCCCATAGATTTTTATGTGTCTCTCTACTCTCCCAGTTACCTTGGATTACTTTGCATATACTCTGGAAATTCCTCTATATGTACACATTGTTGCCCTGATAGAATGGATAGAATGTAAGCTCCTTGAGGGCAGGCAAGGGACCTTTTTTTTTTTTGGCCTTTTTATATAGTGCACTGGCAGTTCATAGGTTCTTAATAAATGCTTATTGGTCAGTTGTTTGATATGTGTCTCAAGGTATATTTCTGTGTCTCTCTTTGTTATTCAAAGTGCCTGTCAGTAGTTTTGCTTCCCTTATGCCTGATTTTGTGTCCTATATTTTTGTCTGTCTTATTGTTTCCCAGTTTTTCTCTGGGTCGGTGTGGAAGTATTTATGTCTGCATGTCTTTCCAGGTCTGTACTCGTCCTCCCTGTGCCTGTGTATCTCCTTGTGTCAGGGTCTTGCCATGCCAGTGTCTCGGTGTTTGTGTATATTTCTTCACGTCTTTGTAGTTATGTGTCTCTCTGTTTATATACTTGTGTCTTACTGTAGTGCTTTTTTCATCAGTGTGTGACTTGTGATAATTTTGGAGCGTTTGTGTTAGGCCTTGTACTTGTGGGCATATGAGTGAATCAGCATTGGTACAGATAGGAACTGGTAGAGGAAATTGCCTAGGGAGGAAACTCCTTTTCAGCCTAGGCACTGAGACATTAAGTGACCCTGCCAAATCTTCCCCCACCACCCAACAAAGGAGCCTCAAATCAGCTTGTCAGTTCATTAGCCCTCTTCTGACTACATTGAATTTTATGGTCAGATACTTCAATATGGCATTCATAACCAACTGAAGGGTGTTTTTTTCCCCTTACCAGTACACTGTGCCAGCTCTGCCAATCCAAACTCAGGGCTTGTTTCAACCCCACCCTTCCCCCATCATTTTCCTTTGTTCTTTTATCTGGGTTATATCATATTACTGGAGAATAAGCAGAAAATCATGGACACCTGGCCACTATCAATTGACATAGCCCAAATTTATCTAGGTCTTTATGCCTGGCCAGCACTTATTTCTAATAAGTTCTCTAACACCCTTCATGTAACTACTATTCTAAGCCTGCTTCGCTTTCCTCAGTCCCCATATCTCTTCCCTTCCACTCTTGCTTTCTTGGATACCCTTTGCTTTCAGAAACAGGGTAGGCACTCCCTCTACTGATGCCAGTCACAAAGCAAGAACTCATATATTTATGTACCACTTTTAAGATTTGTAAGGAAATTTCCTTACAATTACTCTGTAAGGAAGGTAGTACAGGTATAATGATCCCCATTTTTTAAATTAGTAAAAAGACTCCCAGAGTTTAAGTGACTTGCCCATGGTTACAGAAGTATGATGTTTCTAAGGCAAGATTTGAACCAATTTCTTAGCATCACGTCCTCCTCAGTCTTATTTTTCTTATTTTTTTCTTCAGTCGTTCTTGACCATCTCTTTCTTGACATTTTCTCCTCCTTTAGCTTCCATGACACTAGACTTTGTCCTTCTCTTTCTCCTTTCCTGGTTTCTTTCATTTTTCTTCCCAACATACAACTATGGGTGACTCCCAAGGCTCCCACCTGAGATTTCTGCTCTGCTTTCTCTATACATACTCTCCTATAACTTGACTCTTCTTAAAACCCTTCTTTCATCCTGAAAATTGCCTGCTCAAAAATGTATAGCAACTCCCTATTATCTAAAGGGCAAGGTTCAAATCCACTACCTGGACCATCTATAATCTCACTCTACCTCTTCAATCTATATACACACTACTGTCCCAACATATACCACCTATTCCAGTTGGGAAGATCTACTCATTGCCCCCACACATGCTACAATAATTTCTGCTACATATATCTGTATTCATGATAATCCTTTCATTTAGGACATTTACTTCCTACTCCTTCCCCGCCTATCCAAATCAGATCTTATCATTTACCATCTTACTTTTATAACCCTCTTTCTGCATGAATTCTGATGAATGAATGATTATTAACAATTTACATGTATCTTTTTTCCCTCTCTGAATTGGGTTCAGAACTAGAATAATTCTTTTGTAACCCTCTATAACTCTTAGCATCTCACTGCGAACCAATGCTTTGTACCTAGTAGGTACTTAAAAATACGTATTTATTAGCATGCTGTATGACTATGAGGCAGTTAGGTTGTGTAGTGGATAGAATGGCAGGCCTGGAGTCAGGAAGACATCTTCCTGAATTCAAATCTGGCCTCAGACACTTATTAGCAGTGTGACCCTGGACAAGTCACTTAACCCTTTTTGCCTCAGTTTGCTCATCTGTAAAATGAGCTGGAGAAGGCAATGACAAACCGCTGGAGTATTTTTGCCAAGAAAACCCCAAATTGGGTCACAAAGAGTCAGACGCTCCAGAAAAAATAACTGAACAGTAACAAGATAACTATGAGCCCCCTGTGGGATTCACTTTCTCTCTCTGTGAGAAGTGATCTGACACATCCATCACCTAGGGATGATGTGTAAGTTTGTGCATCAGTTACATAGTTTAATACCTAGAAGCTGTTGGCCCTATAGTAACTCTCAGGCTTGTGTCAGACAGAAAAGAAGAAAAAAAAGGAGGAGAAGGAACTTGCTTCTGGAAAGAGATGCTTGGAGATGAGGGAAGAGGGGGTGGGGAAAAGTCATAAAATGTGGATTCATTGTGCCTTCAGAAAGGAGTTGGGAGCTACAATCCAGAGTCTGGATTCTCTCACAGGGGGAGAATGAGAAGATTAGAGCAGAAAAGAACGATCATAGGATTTAGAATTGGAGTGACTTTAGAGCCTTTAGTCCAACCCCTTATTTTACAGGTAAGAAAAGTGGGGAAGGCCCAGAGATTTGATGTGATCTAAGTCGGTGCTAGAGCCAGAACTAAAAGCAGATCTTCTAATTCTAAAGCCCAAGCTCCTTCCTAGGTTCTTAGCCTGGGGTACGTGAACTTTTTTTTTTAGCAGTTTGATAAATATTTAAATAGAATTGATTTTGATTGTAATTTTATGCATTTTATTGAATGTGTTTTAAAATGTGACTTTGAGAAAGGCTTTGCCACACTGCCAAATGAAAAAAAACCCCAAAACTTGTTCTGTACCCTGCCACAACACCAAGTGAGTCAAGTGAATAAGAGACAGTTTCAGTTTGGCAGTAGCCAGTAGTTTCTTTTGTTAACAGAAGTGACACATATGAGTGAACTTTAAGCCTTGAATATATGGAAAGAGCATGTATGACTCCGAAGATCTCTGACCCTGGCCTCGAGGGCAGGAGACAGTGTAAGACAACAACAGCATCTGGAAAGAAACCAGATGGCTGCTTAAGTTAAACTGCAACTAGGAACAGGGTGGCCATAGAGCCTTAGCACAACGTCCTACGTAAATAGTAGGTGCTCGATAAGTATTTGTTGATTCATTGATCATAATCTGTGCCTAAATTCAGCTCCTTTAAATGTTATTCCTATAAAGATTTCTGGATTTTTTCATCCTTTGTCAATACTTTTACCATATGTCTTATATCCGTTTAAGACCTACTTCAATATTAATAGTGATATGGAGGATGAACCTGGGTTCTCTAGGAACTATGATATAGAGTTCCAAGTTCTGCCTTTGAGTATAAGCTCAATGACAGACCATAACTCTTGTCCAAGGGAGACTCATGACCAGATAAGATGTAGAGTGATAATTATTTTTGATTACAACAACTCTGGAAGACAATCTACTAACTTAGAGAAGGTTTATAATGGTCATCATTAGAAAGAATATCCTTCCTAATAAATTTGGAGCTGTTTGATGTATATTTTTCAATAAAGACTATCTCTTTTTAAAAGACTTTGAACTCTGAACCGTTCAGTTATCCCTACTGAAAGAATATATTCATCCTTCCTGTAGTCGAATAAGACCTATTGTCATCTGATGAAAGCCACTCAAATTGTAAGTCCAGCCTCAGAGAGACATTAATTACTCTCAAAAACAGTGAGTGGTCTTAAGTTGTTGTTGTTATTGTTGCCTTTTTGGTTCTTTTTACTTTTTTTTTTGCTTTGTGAACCTAATTTGAACACTACTGATGTCTAAGGCCTAAAAGGGGTCACATCTATTTTTCACCTCTCTGTTGAACTTTGTTACAAAAACAGCCCTTCAAGTTTTTTACAGTTATGTGTGGTGTATATGACATTCTTCCCC